CCCAAGTCTCTATAAGTTTTCTTTTCCTACATATTTCAAAATTTGCATCTTGTGCGACGACGCTGAGTGCATCTAATTTGGCAGCTCGACTCTGTCGTTTGGCCTTTTGTGCAACTTTGGCAATTAGAACTGCAGATCTGGCCAAGTGGCATTTGTGGCAACCTCTGTCCTGTCGCAAAGTACGCCCTTGTTGGGGCAGCAACTTTGGCAGCCACTTGCAACAGAAACAGCTGCAACTGCCACTTGGTACTTGCCTCTTGGTACTTGCCACTTGCCACTTGCCACTTGCACTTGCCACTTGTTATTGCATTTGTTGCTGCTTGTTTTACTGTTGTCCCTACTTTGCAGTTTCATTTGAATGTAACCAAGCCCAACCCAACCGAAAAGTTGAATTAACATACGTGTAAAACTCTTCCTGTTGCACCTATTTGGAGCACCTGTACGTTATCGGGAGAGGCACAAATGTGAGAGTCAGCCGAAATAAGCATTCTTGTGTCTAGAGATGGATTCATTTTGTATACCATCAGATTGATACTCAAAGTTCCATCAGATACATTATTATTATTCACTATTCAGACAGTCTACAGTACACAGTTGAGCATTTGGTTTTGTATTGTTTTACGTTTGGCCCATTTTACGAGCACAAAGTAAAGTTTTTCTATGTGTTTCTGTGTGTGTGTGTGTCGGGCGCATAAAAATCATTCTCAACAATAATAAGAAAAGTTGGCAGTGTTTGGCCCGCGGACGAACCTCCCAGCCAGATCCGCAAAGCCCAAGCAACAAGAGAGAACAAACAGCACTGAAAACAAAAAAGCAGTGTGCAAAATTTACACACAAAAGCATCCAGGCCGAAGCTAGAACACACTGCCAGAATAATATTTTGAGCTTACGATGTGTTTTTTACCCTCCAAAACACTTCTGGGCGTTGCAAACGTTATGGTAAGTTGTATATATCCCAACGTATGGAAAAGTATACTGTATATACATTTATGAAAAAGTAATGGCAAAAACTGCAACACAAAGAAACTCATACGAACAACTGACAGCATCTGGCCGCATTCCAAGGCAATGGGTGTCATCGTTCATATTGCGTATACGCACCATTGAACAAACAAATCGCAATTATGCGGCCGCATTTGCAAGCATTCGGGCCAAAAGCACATTTCAACAAAAGCCGTGCTGATTTTGGCAATTAATGGGCATCACAAAAAAATCTTAATTATATATATGCCAGGCATGAGAGCGCAAAATTGGCACAGATTATCGCTTGGCTATCAGAAACACATTTACCACTATTTCTACTTGTTTTCAATTTTTAACTTACAACTATTTTCCAAGTTGAATAATTTTTACTAAATTAACTTTTTGATAGTTTTAATAATTTGGTGGAAGCATAATCCTCGACAAAAAGAATAACAAGAGAATAATTTTTCAAAACTTGTTCCTCTCTTATTAGCTCAGGTGTCGAAAGACAGCTTTTTGACGAAATAGGTAGACACAAAACCTTGTTAGAAATACTATTAAATAGCATTTGCATTCTGTTGCAACCAGTGCAACTTGTGCTACGTGAGAGTATGACATGTCGACACCTTGACACATGAATGGAACGGAACGAACGGCAGGATAATGCTCAGCTCAGAAGTTGCTACTTCTTTAGCCTGACATTGTAAACCACTTAATATGGAAACGGTTTTCAAATTCATGTCACGCCCGTTTTGGCCAACACTGGCACTGACAGTACCTGTGCGTACCTGTAAGCAAATGAGCTTAGCTCAGGAATCAGTATTTAAAATTACATTTTGTTGCATGGCTCTGCTTTAGTTTCCATTAGGTGCGTCATTTGAGTTATTGCGCATTTTTAAATAAAGTTTCAACATTTACTTTACCTCTCTGCATCTTTGTTTCAACTTTTCTGTTGGCGTTTAGTCACATTTGTTGGTCTATTCCATATTCCTTTCATCAGCTCCTGTCTTCGCTGCGATCGACATTTCCGCTGAGTAAATTGACTTGAGCACCGAGCAGCGTGTCACTTAAAGGCCACCTGATTCGCAATTACTGTCCCGGCGACTACAACGTCCGACTCACAGCCAGTGGACTGGTCATACGGAAAAGCTCTGCCACTCTGCTTGAGGTTGGAGCCTAGCAGTCCAATTTGCGCCCAGGTGGCCTGGCAGTTGGCTTGGACACGCTTCACTGACTCGGCCCATAGCCTTTTTTGAGGCATATGACGAGCTTGCCAGCTAAATGGCTACATTATGAGAAAACGGCTGACGGGATTAGTCGGCCAGCTGCATGCCACAGAGGGGCAGTTGTCCCTGGCTTGCTGCGCTGCAGCAGAATGTGTTTGTTTGTTGCTTTGTTAAAAGTTTATCGCCAGCTTATAAAATACAATTTGCCCGAAGGTCAGTCGGCAGGTCGGTCCATTGCTCAGCGGATCGCAAACCACATGGCTGTGCGGATGGCTACCCATTTAGCCATCCAATTGAGTGCTCCTCACTTTACTAGATAAACATTTACTTAAGGGGCAAATGTACGTCATTTATGTTATTAGCCCCTCGTGTGTTCTCTATATATTTATTTGATTTGTAGGTCGCAATATTAAACGTCCTTACATGCAATTTAACCAGTAAATTATGCTATGCACATAATACAAATAAATAGTAAATGTTGAAATAAATAGTTAGTCCGCTAAATTAAAGTAGTTTACTTTAAAATATGCCTGGTATTGGATATTATTCAATATTGAAATTTCCGCCATATGTATTAATATAAAATGTCCGCTAATTCGATTACATTCAAAATATTAGGTTATAATGTTATTTACGTGTTGTTGTTTATTTTATTTAACAATAAATAACTGCATTGAACAAAAAATAAATTAATATCACAAAAAAAAAGGAAAATTTGCATTGCAATTAAGCTTAATTCTGTGCGGAAATTAAAAATTAATGCCAACTCCATTTGCTGTTGGTAACATGTAAAATCGAAATTGCAAATTTGCAGTAATGATGAAATTGTGTTTCAAATTATTAAGCTGGCTTGAATTTATAACACATGCTAGATTTAATAGCGCAATACTTGACATTTGTCTTTATTTATTTTCGTGTTAATACTCTACTTCAATCAAAAAATAACGCTCCATCATTTTTGGCTTTATTTAGCTTTTTCCACACCTGACGTACATACACATACCTACATAACCACATTTGCCTAAAAATACTTCGCGGATTTTGTGGCCAACAAATTTGAAATGAAAATATATTGTTTGGTTTGGCCAGTAAGGGGTTGACTTTACGGCAAAATGTGATGGTTTTAATAACGTGTAAACAATTCACCATTAGCTAATGTTTTAATTGCAATAGACAAATATTCCACTGGAAGCCCGAAAATACATTTTTGTTAACGTACGAATTTTGAAAATGTTTTATTCAAATTTTCAGCCGTTTTATTTGGCTGTATATTTATGACCCCATATCATTTTATTCCCTCACTCTAATCTATATAGCAATTTGTAAGGCTTGCCTTTCTATCTGCAAGCTCCATTTGCGCTCAATTAATGTTGCCTAAAGCTCATATAACAGCAATAGATTCACGCCTTGAAATTAAATGCTTTATTAAACTAATTGGCTGTCGTCCTTACTCGTCCTGCAAACAGCTTCCAGCTGAGACAGCTTTATTTTATACCTAGTACCCAAACCGTAGGAAAAACAACAGGGAATTGGCTCATGTTTGTTTTGTTTTTGGCTTTTCAGTTTATTCCAAGAAAAAGTAATTTTTCTTATGCCAAAAATAAATGTTCAAATTTCATTAAATTTTTGGCAATAAACCAAAATATTTCCCTCAGTGCTTTAATACGAAGCAATGTTTGCATTTAACCATGCACGTCAGCAATATTTGTCAAGCTGATAACAAATTGTTATTAACAATAATAGAATATCTATAAAATATGACTCAACTCTAACTATAAGTCAAAGTTCTAGAATCTTCCAAAAGGAATGTATGCACCACAATTTTCTTAGTCACCATCTTAGTCTCCACATTGATAAAACGCACTGAAAATAAACATTTTCTTCATCAAAAGTATAAAATATAGTCTGTTTAAATCAATATTTTTTTAAAAACAAATCTTATGAGTGTGCAGATGGCGTAATCGCTGAGACAAATGTACGTTTAGCCGGGTTATCAGTTCTTTGCAGACATATCTCTGCATAACTCTAAGTCTATTAAAATTACTCATCTAGGAGTACTGTTTACCTTTTACTGTTTGTTTACATGAATAACTGGGGTACGCGATCGTGAGAAACATGAAATTCTAGAGAAACGTCAATTAAAAAGCTACTATTCGCGAGAACGGCAGGCATTCTTTGAGCAGATACCTTATTATATCAGCTGTTGGGATCTCATTAAATTCAATTGCTTTCGGCTAAAAAAGCGCAGTATCGATTTGGCCAGCAAAGCGAAACGACCTAATATTCAAACATATAGGAAGCCCATTTGAAGGGAAATCGAAGTGCACATTTAAAGTGGGTGAACATTATAAAAATGAAATATAAATATTATTGAACGTTAAAAAATAAGTTTCAAGCTTTGGTTATTGTGTGTGCGAGTGTGTGATTCTTTTCGGAAGAAAGTTTTAAGCTCGAAACGAGTCCGGGCACTTTGGTTATGCCGGTTACTGGCGAGGTGGCGCAATAATTCCGAGCATTAGAAAAACAAAACAGATGTCAGAGAAAAGTAATTCAAAAGTTAACCGCAAGGCACAACATGCAGCAAAGTGCGAAGGCGAAGAAGAAAAATTACACCAAACTTGATGTCTAATTTAAAACAAACTCCAAGCCTGGCCAAAAGCCAAGGCAGTAACGCAATAAGATTTACAGTTTCCAAAAGTTTGCTACGCAAGGGTTGGGCCAACTAATTGAGATTGAGTTGGACCATAAAAACTTGACACTGAGCTGTGCGCCAACTAATAATGAATCTTTGCTCTCCGCTCTCCATTGTAGACCTTGCACCACAAGCAGGAACGACAAACTTGAGGATATGAACAAAACTAAACCGTCAAAAGCCGGCCTTCCGGTGCGTTTAGTGATTTTTCTGCTTTTTGTTGCCCAAGCCGCGAGTCGGCCTTCAACGGAAAATGAAGGTGACATTGCATCTTTGCCGCCGGATGCAGACAACGTTGAGGTAAGCGGGGGTCTAGAGACTGCGAACTGATTTATCCTTTACTTTAATTTGCATCCTTGCTGCAGTTTCATCATGTGAAGGTCGTGGACGGTGTTATGCACGAGGATCATCCGGTGGTGATGTACAAAGAGGACTTTGTCAACGAGGACTATGGTAACAAACGCTTCCATTTCTCTAAAAACTTAAATTAATTTCCACACACTCACACACAGATCCCACCAAAAACGAGACCAAAGTGCACCATCGAAAATTGTTTAAGGGTCAGCAGCGTATTCGGCATCATCACTTAAGACCACCTACAAAACCGGTGGCGGTGGAGGAAAAGATCGTATTTGATGTGTTGCCCGAGTCCCCGCTTATATTGGGTGATGACGACTCTGTTGCCGACAAGTATGAGGTCGCCCAGCTTGTGCAGCCTTTACAGCAGGAATCACCGCAGAAGTATCCCAAGAAGTACCACAGTCGCCAACGTCGCCAGGCCGACAATCCGTATGTGCGTAAATCATATAAGAGCGATTTCTATGGCAAAGCACCAGCACCCTACTATTTGCCCGTTCAACCTCAATATCACTATCAACGGTAATATATAACTTTGAGCCACTTGGGGGATCTTACAAGTCTGCATATTATATCTTTGCAGGATTCCAGTTGTGGGAAAGAAACCAAAGTACCAGGGAAAACTTCCTTTCTGGCAGACCCCAAAACCTTCCCTCAAGCCAATGAGTATTGGCAATCGCGACGATTTTGGCGAAGATAATGAAAACAGCCTGTTTCACAATTCCAATCCAGACGATGCGGACTTCTCGATGTTCGATCAGCCCAGGCCAGACGATAAAGTAACCGGTGGAGGCAACGGTATCAACTGGCAATCACCCCCAGTGCAAGGTTAGTTCGACCAGTTTTCTAACCCAGCTACTGTGGAAATGTCAATCTATAACACAAGCTGTATTCACAGAATCAGAGCCTGCACCAGTTTTCGGATCAAGCCAAGGCAGACGTCCAACTAGTGGCCCAGGTAAGCTATCACAGCAATCGAGACGTTGCCGTCTGTCATACTTATTGGTTAATTTACGATCCATCATCCCAGTGTACATAACAGAGTATCTTTGCTTCCTAACAAAACGATAGGTCGTCATCATTTCCATCGCTTTCTGCATATCCTACCTTCTATCTCATACTCTTGCTGACCCGTTCACATTCTTGTTACGTCACAGCACGGAGACCCGACATACAGTTTCCACCGTGGCCTCCAACAACCAGCCGACCAGAAGTATTGTCACCATCAACCACCCGGCGACCGGCGCCACCGCCACAGGTGACCAGCTCACCCCCAGCACAAACCACAGCCCGGGTGTCCAACTGCGTGTGGGCAATTGTCAACTGCTGTTCGCAGGGAAGCAATAAGATTCGATACAACTGCTTTGAGGAGTTCGGTTGCCATGGCGCCTTCTGGGGTGTTAATCCCTGTGCAGACAACATTCGCGACCGTGCGATAGCCTCCTTAACAAGATCGTCCAAATAGGCAGTCTGCGCCAAGGCTATTAATCTTACAAAAGTATTCGATTGTCTTGTATGGCTGTGTGCCCATGTCAATGTACTTTTAATAGCTATACAGGAAATCATTTTAATTTATTTTAAGATAGGTCTTAACTCGACAATAAAGTATCCTCTTAATCACCATCAAATACGTAACCTAAAGTATTCATTTGCAGACCGCTCCCAGGCATAATCTGAAAAATACTGTGAATAGCCAAATATTATCGGTGTGGTATTTCCGAACTATTTCTATCTTTTTGTTGCTTATTAGCTAAATTAACTTAATTTAACAAGTACTCGATAATTGGTTATATTATTTTAAATCGCGAAGCTTAAGTTAATTTAAAAATAGCCGATGCATGTTTGGCCTAATTACAATTGGAACATTATAAACACATCTCTTAATTACCCATCTACTATAGGATCCTTCAATCCTCATTCAATTCTAACTGCCAGACAGCGTTGCCTGGTCGACAACCCCTGCTTTCCATTGGCCCCTCACCTGACTAACGGTCAGGTACTGCATAAAAACCTACCCCTACCTGTCCCTAATTAGAGCATGAGAGCAGCATAGCTAAGAGTCATTGTTATTAAGTGCATGATGAACAATACCAAAGAGCTGCACCCAGTGTTCAGTAGAGTGTAAATTAATTAAATTTTTATTGGTCAGCTAATCGCTCACATGCATGCATGCACTCACACGTTCACGCCTCGAAAGTTAACATGTCGGCGCCTTTTAATTGCAGGGAATGTTCAGTCGCCCTCAGTCCAGGCGGCATCCTCCTGGGCCAATCCCAGGCCAAGGCCACGGCCGGTCTTTCGTCAAGGTGAGAAAAATAAGTATAACTGATGCTAAGTAAACCGATTCATTTGATACTCTTTCAGATTCCGTGCAGTACCCATCGGAGCCCAGCTACCAGCCAGGCACCGCCTGTCATCGGGCCGCGCAGCTGTGCTGCAGTTTCGCAAATCTGGGCTCAACTTATGATTGTTTTCATCGCCAGAAATGCGAGCGAAGCCTCGCAGAAATAGTCTCATCGTGCTCCTAGTGCTTCTTTACCTCTGTCGTAAAAAGATCTGTATCTCGATTACGCCTAATCCAATTTGAATCAATGCCGCATCTGTATGGAACAACAGGAATCTAGTCGACACTGCCCACCAACTACTCGCTACTAAGATGGTGCATAGGGGCTTGTTTTGCATTTTCTTTGAAGAATATACACGCCTACAATGTACTCTAGCTTAGCATATTTGTACATTTGTATTTATATATTTTGGAAACCGAGATTATTAAATTCACTACGCCGGTAATAAATATATATTAAATATATCTCTTTATATAAAACTGTTTGTCCTGACTGACTGCTTTGTTGTGTTGTGTTTTGTTCATGGTTTGACGTCTAGATCAATTTGGCATCTAAATCTAGCATAATTATTCTTGGTCAAAATTCAAGTAAAAATGGTTTTCTCAAATATCCTATACATAGGTAAGACTTCTAAATTGCTGCACGCGAGCCTTACGTAACATTTGAATGACATATTTTTATGTAAATACATACATGTATACACACATTCACACATACATACATACATAAGTAAATTTATATATACATACATACATACATACATACATACATACATACATACATACATATATACATACATACATACATACATACATACATACATACATGCATACATGCATACATACACACATGCATACATACATACATACACACATACATACATACATACATACATACATACATACATACATACATACATACATACATACATACATACATACATACATACATACATACATACATACATCCATACATCCATACATCCATACATACATACATACATACATACATACATACATACATACCTACATACCTACATACCTACATACCTACATACCTACATACCTGTATACCTACATACCTACATACCTACATACCTACATACCTACATACCTACGCCTCCAGCTCCACCCCCTTGGTGCTCCTCCTCCGGCTCCTCAGCTTCCAGCGTTGAAGCCGCCTGCGCCTAATTCATAAGTGAAGCCTGCAGGCCTTACTTACATTTTTGAGAATCGAGGAGGAGGGCAGCTTAAATAATTACGTTTTCTTATTCGAACATGCCGCGCAACAAGACAAATTGGTCTGCTATTGGTATAGAAGTAAACTTACGTGCATGTATACATACATATATACGTACACACACACACACATACACACACACGCACACACACGCACACACATACACACACATCTCATAGACCCTATTTATAAGTACATAGGTAAAAATTTCCCACCCCATAACTTGGTCAAATCGTAACCGATTTTCACGAGGTTTGGTTTTTTGTTCATGGCTAGACATCTTAATCAATTTGGCATTTAAATCTGGCAGCATTATTCTTGGTCGAAATTCATGTAAAAATGGTACCCACAAATATCCTAAATAGACATAGGTTAAAATTTCCTATCCACATCACTTGGTCAAATGTCATTCGATTTTCACGTGGTCTGGCTCTAGATTAATTTGACTGACAACAATTTTCATGGTCGAAATTGAATTACAAATGTTACTCCAAATATCCTATATAGGCATAATATTCAAAGCTCAGCAGCAGTGGTAAATTGGCTTTGAGTGAATTTTTATTAGACGTACCATGTGCAAGGCCGGGGATATATATATATATATATATATCTATATATATACATATATATATACTTATACTTATATATATATGTTTTTTCATACACCCCATGGATGAGAATCCAAGTAAGCTAACACTTATTATACTTATTCGCAGGCAGCCGGCGGTTACAAATCTCAGTTGATTTAATTTGCCAGCCTAATGTCACTTGCACTGATATTTACAGACCTCCATGCGAGCCGAGTCAGTAAGGCGATTATGTTGTGGGTATTGTAGTGCCACACCCACAGTTGGTGACATTGTGTGTTTTGGCTTAATTGATTTGTGTTTTGTCGTACAACACGTTGTTTGCTCTTTCAAGCGGGCCCGAAGAAAAAAGGTTGTACTCACCGCTGCCGCTGTCGTAGGATCGGGAGGTGGAGCCACTCGTATTGGAACGCTTAATCTCGCGCCGACCCATGCTGTCTCTGTCTGTGGTCTGCTGCGGTTCCTGTTGCTGTTGCTGGTGGTGGGATGAGTGTGCGGGTGAGCTGCTGGCCACGTGGCACGTGGCAAGAAGTGCGCAAGCAGTTGAGGCAGCCGCTTTGGCCACCGCAGAACTGTAACTGGAGCTGGGTGTAGCTGCTGGGCTGCTGGGCTGACAGTGGAGCGACGGGGTGGAGGCGGTGGCGGGATAGCGGTTCGCGAGCAGCGACCCGGCACTGCGCGTGGTGGGTGGAAACTCAAAGTAGTTGACCTGCTGCCGATTGCCAAGCAAATTGATGGCCGGTTTCGTGGCCAAGCTGCTGCCCGTGTCCGCGTGGCTGGAGCTGCTGCTGCGCCTGTGCTGCTGATGATGCTGGAGCTGATGATGATGATGCTGCTGGTGATGATGATGCTGATGCGTATGATGCCTTTGGAGCTGATTGCTGATGGCGCTGCTGCAGCTGCTGCCGGCTGTTTGAATCTGATGTGGCGTGGGCGGCGGCGGGGGACAAGCGTTGTTGATGCTGCTGCTGCTGGAGAAGGACGATTTTCGCAGTGATGATGGCCTTAACCCCTTGACAGGGTACAATGGGTACTATCGCCCGGCAACGCGTACCCAATCGCGGTGGTCTCGGTCGCTGTTGTACCAAATGCCTGCAAGCAAATAAAAGACAGACAAACTTTAATCGTCATTGTCGTAATCATCGTAATCATTATTGTTATCGCCGAGCATCGCCCAGCGATAGGCAACAGCTCTTAAAGCGTACTCGGCGCGCGTGGCCAGCATGACAACGCACATTGCGTATACGCCCTGCGTTAATGTTGTGCGGCAGCATCGTAAAAGGCAGACCGCGAGCCCATTAACCACGCCAAACCATTTGGGACAGTCTCTGACATTATCGACAGTCAGTGCCAATTTTACCAAATATTTGGCACATGAAATCATTTTGCGCTAATAAAATTTCACGCCCCAATGGGCGGATCATTGATTTGCTGTAAAATGCCAACCAAAATGCCAACAAACTGACCACGCATCCCTTTTACAATTTGCGCTTAATGGGCGTGTCATATGGAGCTTAATATGCATTGATTAGAATAAGATAGTTAAATGTGCTCAGGAAAGTTCATAAATTTCAAGTATTAGTAAAAGTTTGTTAGTAAAATTTAATCACCTGGCGCCGACTGTAACTCGATGTGGTTGGTAATTTAATCAAACACACAATACAGCAAGTGCCTTGAAGTCGCCAAGGTGGCCAAACTAGAGTAGAGTTTTATTTGCCTCGAAGTCCCACTTGAGGAGCCGTCAAGCTGCAGCAGCTTTCTTTAGTTGACATCTTATCTTTATGTGGCAGAGAAATGCTTTTAGTGACAAGAAAAATCAAGCCGAGGCATGCCACGCAATAAGAAGGTAGCTGAAGCAGCAGCTGAAGCAGCGGCAACGGAAGTAAAAAAAGAAATCAATAATAATGGCATTTTATTAGAGTTGGATGCTTCTCGAGCCTGCAGTACTCAACAGGTTGCACTTGCAATATGTGAATCAGGTCAGGATGGGAGTGGACACGGACTCGATTAACTGTCAGAATCGAATCAATTCCTGTTGCTGTTAAGTGCAGCGAGTATTGAGTAGTAAACTAGTTTTTCCTGCTATTTAATTATGTTGTGTATCCGCAGATGGCACACCACTAAAAAGCAAATGAGATTCCAGTTGCAGCACACAGAAATCGAGACAAATGGCAGAAAATGGAGTGGAAGTGGGAACCACAATCTTGACATGCTCAAGGCGAGCTGGCAACCTGTAAATACAATTCCATTTAAATGTCATGAAATGCCTTCTAATAAAGCAAATGCTGGCTGTCTACCTAATAGCCCGGGGGAAAGTCCTGCACAGATATTGTGGTATTCATGGACAGCTTCCGTTTTCATTTGTCGATGCAAAGCAACAAGCTGATTTGCTCATTTGCTCGGTCAATATAGGAATACAGGAAGGTATATACTTGTAAAGCTGGCCTGAGCTTGGCAGGAGAATATCAAGGTTGAATGGTCTAATTCCCATGTGCAAGAGAAATAAAGACAGTGAAAGAGAGAGGGGGGGAGGGCAAAACTCAGTCTTCCACATGTTGCCTCTAATCGGTTCGGATTTGAATTTCCATAATATGAGACCAGATAGTAGAGTGAGAGACAAGGATGAAACCATGCACAAGCAAGAGGAAGGAAAGGATGAAAAAACGAAAAAAAAACACACGATGTCAAACCCAGTGAAGCTCATAGCTCAGTTTGCCAGCCCAACCAACCAGGTTAGATCAGGCAGCCTGGGCCGGATTAAGGCATCAAATTGTTAGCTAATGCCTTTGCCTACATAGATCAAATCATGCCACAAACCTGGCATATGTATGTGTGTGTGCTGCATTTGTCCCTAAGACTCCAACATCGTCGGCTATTCATGGCTAGCGAGGTCGGCTCTAGTTTTAGCGTCGACAACGTTTTTTAATCAATTCCTCAAGTCAGTCTATCAATAATGCCAAATGGTAGACAGACAAAATGAATAATGTCTTGGCATCGCTTTTGTTATTGTTGTTATTGTTGCCGGATAACTGCTGAGCAAGTGGAAAATACGAGTTTCCTTTCGCCTTCCCATTACATTTTTCCATTTGCCATTCGCCATTAGCCATTTTCCTTTTCCGTTTCCTTTAAAGCCGCAGTTATGGCATTTGCCATATGCCCTGGTCACAGAATGTGCCCGCCTTTGAACATGTCAATTCATCACCGGATTTCACCTGCAGCTACTCGCACTTTAAAGGAATCGCTAATCTTTGTTATCCATTAAATTTGATAGCTGAATGTTCCTAAATCCTATATGGAATTTAATTTGTTTAAATAATCGCCAACGCGTTCAGGTGAGCCCTACTTATTTTGGATTTGGTATTTATTGCGCTTGCGGCATGCTCTTCAAAATACTTTTGTTATAATATTTGAGTACCTGGCACATTCCAACCACAACTCCAGCGCATCCCTATCCCTTGTCAATCGGGTTCCCACTCCAAAACTTCGCTTTGGCATAGTTGATGTTGCCCAAGGCTCGACGATGTCATAGTTAAGCCAATGTAAACTTTTTTAATTTGCCATAATACTAAAAATTCCCTTTGCCGCTCCACACAAAATAATTCAACAAGTTTTATGCAAAAAGCCGCTCTCAAATATTTGTGGTTCCAGTTTATGTTTTATGGCAGCTCACACATGGCCAGAGCCAACGATGGGGATCGGGTTCGGAGCGGGTGGTGGGAGGTGGGGAAAGCTCACCAGCTTGAGAGCCATTTGATTTATAGACTCAAAGTGCAAGTAGAAGTGGTTTAATCCCGCAGCTCCACTCACCAAGACGCTGGCATTTCGAGTACCTGCTTAAAATTTACAAACACTTCAATTTGCCATAAAATATGTACAACAATTCGAGACTGCAAATTGTTGATAACAAAATTCAATTTGGGAGCTGCCTGGTCGCAAAACTGAATTTATTAATAGTTTGCTAGTAGAATATTTAAATATTTAAAATATTTAAGTGACAGCTGCTTATCTATAATCTGGAAAAGGATGTGAATTAAGAAAAATATCAGAGCTTCTCGGACTGTTCCTCAATGGAATATTCCCCTATTTCAATGGATATAGTGAGTTCGGACCACCTAAGCAAAATGGTGCCATCTGAGGATTAAATAGTAAAAACGCAAGATACCTTGTATCTCCCAAACATCTGAAGTCCACAATCAGCCAACGAGCTTTGTTTTAAGATTAAACGCTGGGAGGCGTCACCAGCAGAGGCATCAACGAGGACACACAAAGGAAGCTACAGGGAGATCCTTTAAAGTTAATGCCGCTGTCGTTTCCCGAAAATCGATTGCCACACGGGACATGAAAACGAGAATGTAGCAAAATGACAGGGGGGGGGGGGAGCAGGTATATTGGGCGAGCAACATGTGGCTAGTGAGAAGCTGGGCGTTCTGTCGGTTGGGACGAGTTTCAAATGAAAGCTCAGAGGAAATAGCGTTTGCGATGTTTTTTTTTGTGAGTGCTGTACATTTTTAGCAAAAGCATTTTTATTGTCGCCAGGGCAGGTTGATTGACAGAGGGCTACGCGAATTCGTTAAAAAATTGTTTGGATAAACGCCTGCACACCTGAACAGGTAGTCTACATGTTGGCCAACTCAATTGCCCTCGGCTTAAATAAGCGAAGTTGCACGTCCTTTGCCACAATCAGTTGCAGTTGTGCGTGTGAGCTTCCGCTCCAGCCATTATGAACAGCTTGTTTACTCAAGCCAAATGTGCAAATAACCACACCGGAACCCACACGAACTGGAAACCAGCAAGAAGCTCTAGTCGGGAGTTCCTGACTAGGGAATATCCTGACCCCTTTTCTACCAACACCTTATACATCACAATCGCAAACATATGTTAATATAAGCAAACGTTCTGTGTTTCGAAACCGATCTTGATGAAATATTCTACAGTAGATCTTATTATACTTTAGAGTATTTATATATTCTCGAACACTAGGAGGAAAATTTCAAGTCTCTAGCTTTTTTAGGTTCTCAGATCCTTTTAGACAAGCGGACAGACAGGCGGTCATGGCTAGATAGACTGGGTTGTGATGCTGATCAAGAATATATATACTTTATGGGCACGGAAGTGCTTCCTTTTGCCTGTTACATACACTTGCACAAATACATTATATCCTTCTTACCCAATTTGAATGGGTACAAAAACAAAAAGCTGGCCTGAGGCACAGGCAGAAGTGAGACCTGAACCCATAAACAGTAGCCGCCATAAATGTTGTTTTTTTTTAATTAAAATTTAATGAAATTAAGCAAAATATTTTTATTGCCCAGTTGCGACGGTCCTGGTCAGTCAGTACTGTTAAATATGAAATGTGAAACTTTGTTAAAATTTGTTTATGTAAATGACACGGCGCCTGAGAGCTCGGTATTTGTTGAATACAGTTTTAAAAATTCGAAAAAAAAAAAAGACTCCGGAAAAAGTGGGCAGAAAGCGGCAACGAATGCTCTCAACTGTAAGTAATTCACGTTTATTAAAATACCATGGAAAAATCAACCTTCGCTGGCAGCCAGTTATGCGACAGTGTTGCACAGGGGCACAGGAGCATGCGGCACGCGGCACTGTGGCAACACTTATAGCTTTAGATTAACTGGCAGCTTGGGCAAATTCAAAGCTTAGTTGGCAAACAGTTGCGCTCCTTTGTCTCCCCCTGGCATTTCGTCCTGCAAACAGGTTAATTGAATTTACCGAATGCGTTGAATGAGGGGTGGGCGGAGGAGGGACGGGGCGGAGCACGCCAGCGAGGGCAGTTTAGAACGCATGCAGCTCGGACTGCCGTTAGTTAGACGATTACCAGCTATTACTCCTCCCCTCCAATCCACAAAAATTTATTTTCCTGCACCATTTAATGCTTTCTTCTGCCAGCTATTTGCATACAAAAGATCTGGCGACGTTCTCTCTATCTCTTTCTCTCTCTGTCTGTTAGGCTGTTAAACACATTCCATTTCATGCCTGATTTCAGCAAAAAGTGAGTTGCAGTTACCTGAATTATTCTACGGCCAACCCCCTGTTCGTGTGAGTTTGTTTGTGTGTGTGTGATGTAAAGTTAATTATTCTACGAAATGGATTCAACACTCAGTACACGTAACGAGGCGGCAATGTACAAACTTTTATCGCCATTGCTCTGCAATTTGGCGGCGGTCTCGACTGTGTCTATGTGTGTGTGCGCTGAGTGTTTGGGTGTGTGTGTGAGTGTATGCGTGTGTATGCATTAACTTCATTACTACAGCGCAGCACTTGCGCTGGACCTTTCCCTCATAAAATATGATGTGCTCCCAGTCTCCCTCCTATCAGTCCGCCCCCCCCCCCTCCCCACCCCTTTCTGTCTAGCTTGTGGATTAACAGCTTTGAAAATTTGCACGTCATACGCACACACAGCTTTTACGAGCAGCTAGGGGCTGCAAAGCGGGGGGCTGGCAACCCGTTTTTTCTCTTTTTTTTTGGACCCAACCCCCAACATACATATATTTGCGACTCGAAACTTTGACGTGTTTTCAACAGTTTCTACGTGACTTTTCACTGAGCGCTGCACTTGGCACTTCAGATGTTGCCTCTGATTTTGCGCCAACTGGAAGCCAACCTGATAGCCCCAATTTTTGTTCAACAGTTGGCCGCACATATCCATGACATGGCACTCCAATCAATTACAAGCTAGCCATGGACACGGAAGCAGCATCATTTGGGCTTGGTTTGAGCATTCAAATGGGGGGGGCGATCGGTTGGCAAAGCTTACAGGTTGGACTGCATTTATAATTGGTTCTGTATAACCCACTGAAACGAGCTGGCAATCTGGCCAGCAGCACAGTCCAACCACAATGGTATAGCGTTCACCCACCATAAGTGGGGGCAACGAAATGACGGAGAACCCAATTACATTTTTCATTTTCTAGTCATAAATCACATCGAACAAATGCCGCAGAAAACATTTTCATACAAAAAACAGTGCACAAAATTGGCGAAAAATTTCAAAAGTACAAATAAATGTTCAAAAAACATGGAAATGCATTTTTTTTCCTCCGGAACTCTCTATTCCCAACACATGTGAAACAATAGAATCGTTAATGAAAATGGGGCTAATTGGACGTTGAAGAGCCGGATGAAGCGGAAGGGTCACCCAGCCGCCATTTGATGCACTCCATTTGTGCAACACGGAGCCGCAATTGTGTGCGTCTGCCTCCATGTGCATGGATAATTAGAAGCAACTAATTGTGGCCAGAAAATTGCTGAAAGTGGCTCCAATAAAAAGGAAAAAAATTAGAACGCCATTAGAGCAGCAGTTGATGATTGTCAGCAAGCAGTAGAAAGATATGTGAGCTCCATTTAAAATGTCTAAATGGATTCACAAACACTAATACATACGCACACACACACACTCAGGAACTTGTAAATAACTGCGGGATATTCGATTCAATGAGATGTTTTCTCAGCTTGGAATCCATATCACCTCCTTGAGAACTATTAAGCTTGAGAACTATTAAGCTTGAGGAACACCCATGCAAAGTATATTGTGTGTTATGGAAAGTGCTTATATATAGTATATACAAACTTGTTGATGGCTGCAGTTTTCGAGTTTTTCTTATCCTTCTTCTTCCTTTTGCATTCCCACACACACAACATCTACAGAGCATATTTACCCTGCTTGCTTTCTTTTCTTTACAAGGCTTGCAATTTTATTGGAGGGATAACAAAATGTGGAAGTGTTGAAAACCATTTTTTATTTTCAATTTCGTTGTCGATGACATGACAAAGTGCCCTCAACAATGGGGTGTGGCATTTCTCTGTTCAAATATTGCCGTCGCGACTGTCTTGCCAATAAGTAAGCGAAAGAATACAAAAAGAGAAAAAACTTAGGAATCCTCTAGTACTATATGCATACCGATAAAAGGATATCGTTGTCAGTGTTGTAAGCCGGGCCAGCCGGAGGGAACAACAAATTCGATTTAAACGATGACGTTGGCGAAGGAAACTTTAATAGCAGCTGCTCAGAAGGACAACTAGGAAGTCCTTCTACAAACAGAGACCCACCCCACCAAAAGGTGGACCATACTCCAGCCAAAAGTTGGTAACCCAGTAACATTAACTGGGTGCCTTTTTTGCCTGGTTTTGTCTGCCTTCCGCCCTTAGCCTGAGCGAAACTGGCTAAAATATTGATGAAATTAAGGTTTAAATTGTTAATTAAACACGGAGGCAACGCGTTTGGCTTTCGTCGTGCAGACTCAGTTCCTCTCCCCTTGACACCCCTCCCCCCTCCCACCTCCCCCTCATGGGGAACTGGTACATTCTGATGTCCTTCGTCCTTCGTGCTGGTTTGTTTTGCCATTAATGCTTGTAAGTATTCATTAATATAAGCCGCAGTTGTTGTTGTTGTTGTCTGAATTGAATATCTGTGCGGCGTGGTCCTGTCCTCGCGGCCAAGACTTGCCCAAGCCACATTTAAATCAATTTTAATAAAAAATCAAGAAAATTTTGTGAAATTGCCCCATTAAATATATTGTGTATAGAGTCACAAGAAAGTGGTCCATAAAAGCACAGAGCCAACTTGAAAACGAAGGCGGGGTCAGGCAGAGAAGTGTATGGCATAAGCCCGAATAAAAAGATAAATTAAAAAATAATATTAAGAAAACAACGACAGTGACAAGGATGCGGACGACAACGAGGAAAATTACGCATAAAAAGCCGCAATTGAGTTTTTCGACCGAACTCCGAGCCAGAGACCGAGACAGAAAGAATACAATTTTCCATGCAATATATGCGTAAATCTCAACAAATTTCATTTGCCTGCCTGCCCCCGTTGGGGGCGTGGGCGCCGTCAGTAGCAGCGACAACAACAACAACAACAAGGCGAAAATGTACACAGAGCCAAAAAGTCATACACGAAAACGACTGTCAAATAAAAGCGAGGGTTAGCAGGAAAAGAAATACTCGACTTGAATATACCCTCTTAAATACCACGACTGTTATATAGCCAAGGGTTTCTTAGGGTACTATATATTTGTAAAATTGAAGGTCTTAGATTGGCATTCGATATTCTGAATTAAAATATTTTTTTTATATCCTGAACCCATTTAAAATGGGTATAAGGGTATATTTTATTTGTGCAAAATCCAAATGTATGTAACAGGCAGAAGGAAGCATCTCCGATCCCATAAAGTATATATATACTTGATCAGCACCAATAGCCGAGTCGATCTAGCCATGTCCGTCGGTCTGTCCGTCCATCCGTCCGTCCGTACGTATGAACGCAAGGATCTCAGAACCCAGAGACTTGAAATTTTAGATGTAGATGCTCCTAGTTCCCGCGCAGATCGATTTTGTTTCCGATAATCAATAACTTACTTCGTTTCCAAGCAATCGATATCGATATCCTGTTTTTTGGGCAATTTTTGTAAATAATAAGAGCTAGAGTCACCAAACTTGACATATAGCTTCGAAAATAAAATATATATATGCATTTGATGTTGGAAGAAGAGGGTTCAGGGTATCCCCTAGTCGGGAGCTCCCGACTAGAACCGCTTACTTGTTTTAAAATATACATGTACTTGAATATATACCCTCATTAATACCACGACTATTAGACAGCCAAAGGCACATCTAATTAGCTGAGCTATCTCTTGGGTAGTATATTTTTGTGAGATATTAGCTTGGCATTCGATATTCTGAATAGAATTAATTTTGATAATACATGTATTTAGAGCAACACATATACCACTTGCACCCTATAAAAGTGAGTATATGAAAATACGCCAAAAGCAAAAGTGAAAAAGCACAAAATGTCGGAAGCAGGCCTCATAAAAATGTACACACACTGCGGGGCGTGAGGCGATGAGGAGTTGCAGGGGGATGGAAGTTTTTTAAAGCGCTTGCACTGTTCCATTAGTTCTGCGGCAATACTATGGTTCGGGACTTCACATGCTCCCGGAACTTGCAAACTTTTTACGAGCCCTTTTTTCGCTTATGGAAATCAATGCACGCTTATCCAAAGTAGACACACACACACACACACACCGACACACACACACACAGCCACTCTTAAAAGGACTTAAGCAGTCCGTTGATTTACTTGGCGCTCGTGACTTAAATCTCGTAAATCCTGCGGATGCTTGAGAGGAAATAAGTTATAATTGCAAATGCGCCCGCGCCTTGATGTCACTTTTTATTACTTAGTGATAGGCAAGGAAAGATTTGTTTAGCAGCACCGTAAGGAGCTTAAGATTTGGCCACATAGCCTGGCACTTGCTTCACAATAATCGGGTTTTGAAAAATGGAAAAGCGCAATAATTATCTGAAGCGAACACCTTTTACCCACCTGCCGCTCAATCCTCAGTTCTCCTCCTACCTAAGCTAGGCATGCAGTTCATTTAGTTTTTCTTTTGTTCTTTCTTCAGGTTTTTTTTTTTGGTTTTTTCTACGTACGTGACAAATTCTTATTACATGAATTAATGCTGTTTCTCTCCAGCAGTTGTACTTATTGGTTGCTGACCAACTTTTTTAACCGTTTTTCTGAGCTGGTAAATAACTCTTTTGTCATTGTTATAGTTGGGTTTTTGTACCATGTCGCTACAATTTCTCTATTTCGCACTGTCTGTCTGTCTCTCCGTCTGTCTTTCCGGATTTTCCCTATGTGCTGGTGAGGCTTGGATGCGGAGTATGGAGCAGATCTGAAGCGCATATTGTGCGCTTGTCAGATGTCGGCAGACAAGCGAAAACTCGAAAAAAATAAGAACAACACTAACGCTGAAAAGTAAATATAAAGGACATTAAGTGGCGTTTAACAGGACACAATATGCGGCATTGAGGGGGAATCAAGATCAACAACAACAAAGGCAGCAAAAAAGTACAAGGGAGATGCAACATGAGCTTGTGGTACGTGGCGGGTAAATTAGCAGAGCAATCCCCACATTTATTAGCATAATAAGCGCATGGAAGCAAGCATCGACAATGGCAATCGCAGCTGAGACGAGCAACAGCCGTGCCCTGTGAACAGAGAAGTCTGGAAAGGAGAAGTCCCTACATTTGGTAACTTACTTATCATTTTATGCCGCGTGGCCGTGCGTAAATCCTTCCGCAAGGATTTTTGCTGCGCGCTCTAATTATGCCCAAGCACAATGAATAACTGTTGCTCTTGCACGGCGGATTCTTCCTATTCAGAGTACACACACACACTAACACACTCGCACAGTCACTGAGTTTTAAGTTGGGGGGCTGATCGTCTGCAGCACGGCGCCTCCTTCAATTGCAGCAGCCTTCAAAGGTATGCGTAAGCAGGTATTTTGCTCAGGTGTACAAGCTTTTATCGCTAATTCCTGCGATAGACACAAAAACGCGCTTAAGACTGAGCTGACATAATCGGACAACTGTGCAAGTTGGAGGCTTTGGAGTTGTGCTCAGCCCCTTTTCTGGCTGCTGCGACTGCTATTAAAATTTGGTCGTAAGAGCGTTTTGCCGCGTGCAACGTGCCACCAGGACGAGAACTGTCAACGAACTGTGCGTGCCGAGCAGCTGGAATTTCAACAGGCACGGCTGTTATACGCCGCCGCGTATAACAGTTACAGCCAGCGACTCGCAAGCACAGTGGGAAGCATTTCATTGCCGACGCACACGGCGTATGCGCAATTTCCCAGTAACCGAAAGAGAGAACGCGAGCGATAGAGAGAGACAGAGAGAGTGTAAGCGATTTGCTACGCAGCAGCAGCGCAACAATTTGTTGAAGAGCGACGAGGCAGCCGCTTTAACTTGTTATACGACTTTAGGCAGGCGGACGTCGATGTCGTCGTCGTCCTGACCGGAAACAAAAAGTCAGTGCGATAAGCAACGGCAGCTGCTGGGACCAGGCGAGCTTCTAGCGCCCTTTTATTGCCAATTCGAAGGAAAAAAAAAAAACGAAGACGAAGACGCAGCTCACCTTGGCCGAGCCTTGACAATTGTGCAGCAACAGGAGACGCCACAGCCAAGGCGCAGCACAAATTATTGTTGTTGGTGTTGTTGTTGCTGTGCCCCGCATTAGCATAATGGCATAGAATGGCGCTGAGTGGAAATTGAGTTTGGCAGTCTGCAACTTTGTTTTTAGCATTTGTTGTTGCTTCTTTGTTGCCGTGGCAACTGCGTTCCAAATGTGGTTTTCTTCTGGGGCAGCAACTCCTGGGCAACTGTTGCTCAATAAGCAATTTCGAGTGTCGAGTCCCCAGTTTTAATGCCCTGGTCCAGTATAAATAAATAAATATGCATGAGCTGCAGAGGGTTTCAATTAAATTTACTTAAATTGTTGTTGTTGTTGTTTTCTGGTTATTTGCCAGACTCTCAGCTTTGTGCCCTTGCCTGACTGAGGTCAAGAATTTGCATCCAAAAAATATCCAAAGAATTTATTTAGGTTTTGCATTTATGATGAGCAACAGGAATAATAACAAGTAGGAAGTTCTGGTCGGGAGTTCCCGACTAGGGAATACCCTGAACCCTTTTATTCCAACACCAAATTCACCTCGCGTTACGTGCTTTTGCTTTAGATAAATTGCAAAAAAAAAATAGTTCCCTTGGCAGGGCTCGAACTCGCAACTAACCGCACTACTTGCCGCCGTCTCGCGACAGACAACACTACCTGTCACCGCCTCTACACAGTCTTTTTCAGTCTCTGTGAGGAAAAAACCAATTAAAATAGTAGCACAGAAAACAATACAATCGCAATTATAATGCTGTTGATGAATACGAAGCAAACGTGCATGAGGGGTCGGATATGCTTTAGTCTGCCTGTTACATACATTTACAATTTGCACAAATACAATATACCTTTTTTATCCATTTTCAATAAGTTCAGGGTATAAAAACGCAAATTAAGGCAAAATCCAGCTGGCCAGGACGAAAGTGTTAAAGCACCAAACGATTTCAATGGCGAACGCGGACTTCCGTCTTGACACGGGCTGCGACTCGGACTTGGCCATAAGTCCACGCAGATCCGGCTCAAATTGCTGCACGCGCAGGCACATACGCACATACACACGCACACACACATACAAACTTGAGTTGAGTTGACTTGTCCACGGGCAAACATGAGCAAAAAAAAATACATGAGACGTGCGCTGCCTGCAAAGGACGTTGATTACGCAACAGGGCTGAATGACTGACTGCCTTATTCCTTTTCTGCCTGCTGCTGCTACTGCCACGCCTCCATTAAATTAATATATACACACGCACAAACCCTCAAATCAATGTATCACACCCCCCACAGTTGAATCATCTTGGCAAGCTGGCTGCTTTGCTGGGTTATTGAACCACAACACCTGTTGATTTGGCTCATCAGTTATTAGATTAAATAATGCCCACAAACAAAGACATTGTATGGCTTTACGAGCAGCTGCACAAAGTGCCGTCTTAGCCAGATCCTATAACAACGTCAAATGAAATAATTGCATAACATTAAATTCCAGATGGTTAGCTTCAATACGTATTAGTGAGTCAATCAAAACTTATCTCTAAGACTATTTAAATTAAAGTAAAGCAATCGGTTAATAAAGACTAAGGTTAAAGAAAACTTAAACGGAAAATGGGCAAATAAACGTGTTTAAAAGAATTAGAAATAACAACAACAATCACAGCTAGAATCTAAAAGTGTGCAATGAGCTTTCTATCTCAGTTGCTCTCAAAACGGCTTCCATTTTTCAAAAACGCCCTCTATGTTTGATTGTAAGACTAACAATCTTACAAAGCATTTTGTATGAAGCTCTTTTACGCTACCAGCCAACAGATGGCGCATCGAAAAATTTTAAAACAATTCATGTTGTTGACTTCTGCGGATAAACAAATTCTCTGTTATTCTGGTTATGTATGCCATGGCTAGTATGTTTAAGTCATGAATTTCTACGTTTGTTGTTGTTTTTTATTATCATCGTTATCTATATATATATTTATATAATATATATTTTGTAATTGTTTTAAATATTATGAACTACATTTGAATTTACAATCTAATTAATAATTAACATTTAGCCCATAATAGTACACAAATATGCGCATAGGTATAGTTAGGTAATATATTTATTTTTATATTTTGTTTTCTTTACGTTTATTTGCCTAGCAACATTTACATTTACTTAGATTAATATTTTATGAATTACATTCAATTTGTTTGTGTTGTTTTGATTAACTTGTATGATTACTATCTATAACAAACATTTATAGCCCAGCGTTCTCTTACCATTCAGTTTTCAATTGGATTAACGACTTTTCACAAAAAGAAAATCTCGTTAGCCACATTTGGGCCTGTGGGCCGAGCTATTTACACACACAGAGTAGTACCAAAGAATATTACGTATTCCATTACGAATCTTAAGCATATAATATACATATGATTTAAAGACTTCGTTAAAAGCATTCTAAGAAAATGTACAATTACAATTACACGTATGTATGTGGACAAATATTTTCAATCAAATACATTGGGCATAAATTATAATATAATTGTGCTAATTGGTTTTTTAAGTTTTCATCATCTTATTATCTTTTTTTTACTTGATTTACTTGTCGCTCTGCTAATTGAATATTTGCATATTTTTATCTTTTGGAACATTAATTTTTTGTATATATATTTTTATGTACGTTTTACGTCTTACGCTTTGTTATTTGTGGTTCACTTTACGCTAAGGGTATTAAAATTAATATGTACATAAAATGACTTACTAACTAGCAAATATTTGCAAGGGTTGTTATTATAAATGTTGTTGTTGTTGTTGAATGCAACTGAAATTTCTTTCAAAGAAATTTCAATGTAATTTTCCATTTTATGTTTTTTTTTTGCGTTCGTTTGTTAATTTGTTATATTTTCAATGCACAGAGAATTCTACTAATTATAAGCGCTAAACATTGTATATTATTTATTTCTATGGTACTATGCAGTTAAGTTTACGCGTTTCAGTATGCTATACGTATGTATGTGTGTATTTATGTGTATATTTTAAATTAGAAGCGACCAGATAAATCCTGCAACGAAAGAAAATCATGTTCTTATAAGTTTTGTAATCGAAATAAAAATGGACTCTTACTGAGCCCATCAACATATCATTTTGTATTAGAGAGTCCTCCAAAGGCAAATCAACACTTCATATAGGGGCAATCAGCAGCTTCTCCAACTGCCCAACGCCAGAATGCTCCCCCGTCGCCCTGCTCCAGGATGGGTGCTAATTTATTCATTTAGGCACTTGACACTTGGCGTCAAAATATTCATAAGCGATAAGCAAATGTAAGAGATGGCTTGCCATAAGCTTCAGCCTAGCAATTTTTATGCAAATGTGCGACTGCGAGTCAGCAGGAAAGCAAAATAGATGCCCGAAAATGGAAAACTACAAAGAGCTGGCTCAAATTGTATCATAAAAATGACAGCCTAAACATTTAAAACGAGAATCTGGCTATAACAATAAATTTTCTCTCAAATTGTTGTTGCCAGCATAAAAATCAAAACTCAACGCTTATCAGCCGTTTTATTAGTTTCGGCTTAAAAAAAAAATATATATATATAAATATGTATATATATTTGTATATGTTGATCACGCGCAATTTTTATGGCCAGCAATTGAATTTTATGCGCGCCCTTTGACACGGCCGGCAGGGCCAAAAAATCATTGCCTACTTATGGGCGCCGTCAAATAAGTTTATTGCCGCCCTTGAGGGCGCATTCATTTCGCCCGCTTGACTGCCTCCTCGCTGATTAGTTGCTACGCCCACCGGGCATATTTGCACTCAGCACACACACGGTAGTTAAATTCCTTTGCTGTTTGCCAGCGCCTCGGCTAAGTCCTGCAGGGCCTTGCAGTTTATTACAAGCGTGTCGCTTGTTTGCTTTATTACTTATTGCACACACCGTTAACGTGTGCGTGTGTGTGTGTGAGGGTGTTCATGTCTGTCACGTCATTATCCTTTGTCCGTGCAACAAGTGTTTCAATCCCGGGCTTTGTTTGCCGTGTGTACATGAGAGTGTGTGTGTGTGTGTGTGTGTATGAGACAGGCACACAAATCCTTGCGTGTCTTAAGCAGCTTTTGCTGTCCCTCTCTCGCTCGCCGCCAGCTGCCTGATGCTCGTCCTTACACAAATGTATGTACTTTGCCCTTTTCCTGCCACTTGGCAATTGTTTTCCGACACTTCCTTCGGGGCGTCGCCTGCCAACTCTGAAACCCGGCAAGACCTCTAAGTGTGTGTAAATGTGGTTTGAGGCCCGCACCGCTTCGACCAGCTGAGTCTTTTGCCATTTGAGCTTCCTGTCGCCAGCTTAAATGCTGCTATTCAATTGCTGACAATTTGTATCATCATTATAAATTCTGCGCTCGCTGGCAAATTGATTCTGCTGCCTTGTCAGTCCGTCCGTCAGTTAGTTTGCCTGTCCGACTGTCTGTCACCTTGGCTTACGGATAATCAGATTTTCAATGGGCGAACAGTTGAACAATTAGCTGTCCGTCCTGACAACGAATTAGACGCAACAGCAGCATAGTGTGCTGCTCTCCTGGGCCATGCCTGGGCTAACTCAATTTATACCGCAACTCGAGCAAATCCCCGGACATTTATTAATGATGCGCGACCATTAAAATTTAATCAAATGTGCCCAAAAAGAGAAAAGGAGAAAAAATAGCAAAGTCGTCTTGACTTCTTCTTGAATAATTTAGCGAGTTGCGGGCAAGTTGCAACACCTCAAGAAATGAAACCCAGCCCCAAACCCAAACGAAAAAACTTTTGGTTCCCCCGACAGCCTAGGAGTAGGCCAGGACAACGTCGCCAATGTCAACCTCAAGCTGAGGCAACAGAAATCGCGCATTTTGGTTTGCTCGCTTTTTGCTTTTTACATTCTTTTTCTCTTTTTTCTACTAATAAATTGGTCTAAAATGCTTTTGTGTTTCACGCGCGCTTTCGCCGGGGCAACATCACTCCCCTCTCCCTTCCCTTCCCACCCCTCCCCCCTCGCTCTCCGCTGCCTTGCCACACAACAGCAGCTGCAGCCATAATTTGTGCGACTTTATTATGTGTCAAGTGAGTCAATCTGCGGACGATGATGACACGACGACAACGTGAAGAAATTGTGATTTCCGGAGCGGGGAGCAGCTCACATCTTAGCCGTTTATTGACATGTGTCTCGCTGGCGGCGGCTTATTAGGCAACCGTGTGCTATATATATATATATATATATATATATATTTGTGTGTGTGCGTGTCCTTATATTTTTTATTCTATTAAATATGCAACATGCGGCTGGCAACTTTAAAGCATGCCACAGCATTTGCCGCATTTGCATAATATATACAAAAAAAAAAATTTTAAAAAATTTTTGTAAATTCTAGCTATGAGAAATACTTTGGTAAGTAGATCTGTCAGTTGGCCGGAATTATAAAAAAAAAGTGTAAGATGGATAAATGGAAAAATGGAAATCCGCCTTCGAATGTTGGCTGCAATTCAAATTATTCACTCAAATGAAGCGGCGGCAGCCAAACACAAAAGTTTGCACTTGGCATAAATTTCAATGTGTCCCTGGCCCATTCCCCTTCCCCTTACCCGCCCCTCCCCAACCCTTGTCTTAGGTAGCACGCTGCTTGCCCCATGACAAAGGCGATTTGATTTTATTTTATTAGCACATCACATGATTGGCGCCAGAACTTGACAAAGTTTCAACTTTGTCCTGTCGCTGGCTACACCCCCCACCCCCACCCTCTCTCTATCCAGCCGTCTCTCTCTCCGCTCTCCTGGCAACTTGCTCTTGGCCAGCAACTTGAAGATTTTTTTCTGGTCGCTTTGCTGTTTTCTAATTGTTGGCTTACAAAACTTAATGTGGAATTCAATTTGTGCGTACTGCACCAGGCGGAGACGTGGGCGGAGGCGGGGCATTTGAAAAAGTTTTTCCTGGCACTTCATTGGGTTTTTTGTCGCCCGCTGTCCACTGTCCCTACCCTCCCCGCAACAAACTTGAGCACAAAGCTAAAATGCACACTGACAGCTTAACTGACATTGAAAAAAAGCCAGCAACAATGAAAGGTAGCGCAAGCAGAAGCAACGACTATTCAATACCCTGTAATATGAAAGTGAACAAAAGACTTGACAGAAAGCAATCAGAACCTGAGCTCCCTTTCCCGACGAGCTTTGAACTGAACTTTGTCAAAGCGAAAGCTAAAAGCTGCACTCAGAATCTTAACCAACGTTCTATAGGTAAAACCTTTGTAAAATATGCAAAAAAACTGGAGGTAATTTTTCAATATTAGCTGCACTTAACACGCTTGATTTGAGCGCGGGGCAAACAGGCAAATAGCCATAGGTTTTGTTGGCCAAGGACAACAACAACAACAGGAGCAACGGCAGCAATATTAGGGACATAAGTCACCCTAAGGACGTAATTAATTTTTCAGCATTCGCTGTTGCCACACACACACACACACACACACACACACACCTGCACACACTGAGGCGGCAGGTAGAGGTTGCCTTGACGAATTTGCGCCGCGGTCGCCAAAGGACTTGCAAAGGTAGCCCTCGGGCCGCTTGCCCAACCAAATTAGCGCGGCCATTACGTGGGCGAAATAGGAAGGGCAGGAAGAATGTGGGAGTGAGGGGGGTGGGATGCATGAGGAGACTTGAATGCCGGTGGCCAGGTCTTACATATTTTATGGGCCCTGGTAAATGGACTTAATTTTCCGCAGTACGCGCCGCTTTAACGTTGGAAAATTGAAAAAATATCAAAATACTTTAAACTTGTGTTTTTTTTTGCGCCTATTTCTGTTTTTTTTTTGGAACGGAGGCGGGGGCGGGGTGTGAGGCGCACTTGACATTGTATTATGATAATTGAACGCGTGTAATTGCCCTCAAGACGAGAAGCCAGCAGTTGGCAGTCAAAAGCCAGCTCTGAAGGAGGCATCCAGCAAATGGAATCGCCATAAAAGATTCATGGAGCAGGCAGCTCGGGGAAATGGCGACTGAACTAAGGCGATTTGTATATATGTATATGAAATGCTTATAAAAGCAGGACACGGCGAAAAAAATCGGAGAGAAAAAAAATTTGTGGAGCGTGGGAGGTTAACTGTGCTCCCCTTCTTTGTCCCAATCTTTGGCTCCGTCTTTGGTCCCGTCTCTGATACCGTCTCGGGCTCCACCATTTTACATATTCATAATGTATCGCTTTATGCGTTGTGATTTTACATTATTAACATAATTTATGCATAACTGTCACATTGAATGTCTTTTAGGCTTGATGTTAATTGAAACCGAAGCGGAGTCGGAGTCGGATCGAATCGGAGCACCATCTACTCACTTTGTAAACTGTTGTGGCTGCAAGCTCCCATCCTCCTGCTAGTTTAAAGTGTACACATTATATTGTCCTTAGATTAGGCCCAGCCACGTCTTCCAGCTAGATACTACCTAATGCACCCAGGAGGGCGGCGAGGTGACCACGCTGGGCTGTGAGTACTGGACGCGGGCGTTCAGATTTGCAGTCGCCGTTTGTGTGGCCAGTTCCAAGCTGTTGTTGCTATTGTTGTTGTTGTTGTTATTGTTGTTATTGTTGCTCATCAGCAACTGTTGCTGATGCTGTTGTTGTTGCTGTTGCTGTTGTTGTTGCTGCTGCAATTGCAGCTGAGCCTGCAACTGATTGAGCTGAACACCTGCGCTGCTGTTGGAGGCGGCATTGCTGCTGCCGCTGTTTGTACTATTATTGGTTAAGATCACATTGTTGGTATTCGTGTTGACCGCCGCGAGCGGTATATTAATGTCCAGCAAGCCGTCGTATCGCATCTCCTGCTGCAGCAGCTGGAAGAATAAGCAACAAGACAGGTTGAGAGGCTGGCTCCAATCTGGGATCTATGTTTGGCTTACCTCCTCGACGTTGCACTCGAGTCCACCCTGAAAGTCCTCCAGATTAAATTCGTCAATTTGCTCGCTGTTGAGCGCCTCCAGGCATTGCCCTATCAAAGTAGAGGCGCAGTTATTATCTGTTCAAGCAGCGACAGACATAGACAATAGATAATAGACAATAGAGGAATAGATAAGACGGAAAGGAGATCATCAGAGAGGCTCTCAAGACTTACCCTCCAGACCTGAGGACAGCTGCTGCCTCTGCTGTTGCTGTTGCTGTTGTTGCTGTTGCTGATGCTGGACAAGAAGTGCAGCATTATCCGCAGAGCCATCTAGCAGGACGTTGCTGTATGTGTTCAGGGAGTCGGACGAGGGCTCGCTATTGGGATACGCAGGCGACATTGTGGTGGTAACTGAGTTGGGCGACAGGCCCTGCCAAGAGAGGAGAACAGGCAATTTAAGGAGATTGATCCTTGAGGATCCTTGAGGATGGGATTACTCACATCTCGCACTGGGGCGCTGTGCAGGCAGCCGCAGTTGAGCGAGCGATGCAGCAGGCATTGGCCCTGCCCCTGTGGCTGTGGCTGCGGCTGCATTGCGGCATATCCTGGTCCATTCAGGGAATAGCCCTGTGGAAGCTGCGGCTGCTGCGGCGGCTGATAGGGCGGCGGCGGCTGCGTCGGCAGGCCAGATGCGGCGCTGAACCTGCTCCAGCCGTACGATCGTTGGGTTGCAAATACAGAAACAGACGTTGACTTTATAGAGCAGTTAAATATCGTATATAAATAGTGATTGAAATAGGAATATGTATATCAAAGCATGCAAAGCTTGTGAAACGAACAACAAAAAAAAGCGGCTCACACACACACACACACACACACACGGACACACAATCATAATCAAACACAACTGACCCTTGCTGCTGCAACATGTCGCTCTGGAGTTTCAGCTCTTCGGCCATGGAGCCGGCCAGCTGGTCAAGCTGTTGGGCCTGTGCCTGCGTCATTGTCGTGTTCTGATAGTCAACCGAGAAGCCCCAGTCGGGCTCGAGATCCAATGCCCGTATGGGACTCAGACGGCCGCAGGAGCTGGCATTCGATGAGGCGCGCTGACGAAAATCGGGCGACAATTGAAAGCCGCCGCTGAACCGCAAACCGATAGATAAATGTAAGGAAAACAAGTAAACAATACAAAATTAAAAATGTAATCAAAACAAAAAATTACCATAATAAACGAATCCAAAAATCATAAGCAGCTAAATCAAAGCTCAGACTTTTGAGTAATCTACAGTTAAAAGCCAGCATTCAAAACTATTTATTTATATATTTATTATCTAAGATATGCGAAAAAAAATTGCCAAGTCTGCAAACTACGTAAGGGTTAAGATTATATAGCCAGATTTTGTGTAGTCTGTTTCCTTTGATAATGGGTAAAAAGAGTGTTATATTTATTTCGGATATTTTATTGCGACTCTAATAGGAATATAAATGCAGCGTGGAGCTAGATAATCAGGCAGGATTAAGCTCATTATAACTAGATTCTGTATACTCTGAAGCTATTTATTTATTTTGGAAAAGGCAAGTCCGTCTATCTATCCTTGCTTCTTAATAATCAGAGTCTATAAGAGCTATAGGCTTCACATTTAAAGCTTAAGCACAGTTCTCTTCGGGGTAGTATAGATTAATAACCATGAAGAAATCTACCAGATGTGTTTGTTTCTATACTATAACTTTTCTATAACTTTATCCAATAAAAGCTATGCCAAATAGTTGCTTGATAAGATTTTTTATAAGGATAGTTAAAAAAAAAAACTAAAACTTATATTATGAGCAATTGTTTTAATCTTGCCTGCAGCAAAATTACGAAACATTGTTTCATCAGCTTTAGTTTTAAAAGGAGAAGCTTTCAATAGACAGTCGGAACGATTCAAATTAAACTATTTTTTATAGGGGTGATGTTTCCTTCAAATATCTTGACAAATTATCAAACATATCAACAAATTTCTTATCAAATTCCTTGACAAATTTCTTGACAAAATTCTAATACCTCCGGCAGAGCTTACGAACAATTTCAAATATCTTAATGCTTGATTTGTAGATATATAATGATAAATGATAAATAGGTAGCAAAATATCTAAAGGATCTACTGAATTGCTATTTATATTTTATAATCGAATCAAAGCTACTTTCTTTTTTGTTTTCTCAATTGTAAATAGTTACCTGTGCAGCGGACTCTCTGGAAAGTGATCCAGCCCCTCGCTGACGCTGCTGCTCGGCGAGGGCGTGGCATCATTGAGACCGACAACGCCGCCCTGGCGCAAAGCCTCGACACGCTTCTTGGCCCGTCCGCGGCGCTTCTCGTAGCGCGATGTCTCCATGGAGGCGGCACGACGTCGCACCGATTTGCCAGGCTTAGCCTCCGGGTTGAGCATCCACCAGGAGGACTTGCCGGTGCCCTCGTTCTGCACGCGCATAAACCGATTGTGCAGCGATAGATTGTGCCGAATGGAGTTCTGTAAATGGGAGGGAAACCCAAACCAAAAACGTGGCAATTATTATCGACGCTGAGCTGAGTTTTGTCTTTCTGTCATTTTTGCGGGATTTGCAAATCTTGCGGGTTAAGCAATTCCCTTCAAGTCGCGCCGATGTAACGATTTGTAAGCAATTGCGTTAACTTCCTGTGGGGGTCGGATAAGGTCGGTAAGGTCTTGTGCTACGTTTCCTTTTCCCGGTTTGCCATTCAATTGTCTGACGACATTTTTATGGGTTTTAGAGAGCGCGCACATACACGGTCTCTAATTGGAAGTTGTCTTCACTTGACTGTCGTTCTAAGAGCTCCGCGTTGTAGTCGTCGTCGTCGTCGTCTACGTCGTTGCCTGTCGCTTAAGCTGTCAATTCATATTTTATAACAATAGTCATAAATATATCGTCATGCGCAACGTAATGACAGCAAATCGACGAGCAGACAGACAGACCACCAACTGGCAGACTAGAGTCCTCTGACTAGAGGTAAAAAAAGACGCACAACAATTACACACCAAACACAAGCAAAAACAATCAAACACGTTTAGAGCGGATTTGTCATCGGTTACAATTTTGCGGGAATATATATATATACCATATAGAAAAAAGTGAAATGGAGCATTACAAGCTAAACTAACCGAAAAGCAAGGCTGCCGCAGATTCCCTCGTGTCCCAGCTCCGAACCAAATTCGATGCGTCGCGACTTCAGGCGGCAGATTGGCGCCATTTATCACCGTTGCCAGCACATGGTGTGTGTGTGTGTGTGTGTGGGTGGAGGTATGCCTGAGGACTAAACCTGTGCGCAGTCAGCAGACGACAGACGACATACGAGAGATAGGGTAGACAGGAGCAGAAACACCGCCAGGGTTCAGACCTTCTAATACTTTTTTTTTTGTTAGTCAAAAACTTTTACTTGGCGTCAGTCGAGTCCTGTTGGCGTCTCCTGGCGTCGTCGTAATGACATTTCGGTTTTAGCCCACGCACACCCCCGCATACCCCCACTCACCCACACCCACACACACACGCACACCACTTTACCCCTTCTATTTACTGGCTCTTGCATAAAGTTATCATTTTTTTTAAATGTTTAAGTGCGTCCTTTGGCCCAAGCCCAGCCGAACTTAATGTCTGCCATTTGCAAAGATGCTTGGCAATAATTTAAACAGCGAAACGTTTTTATTATGCTAATACGCCTAGAGGAAATTATCTTACAATTCGCTGGACAGGGACCATTCTATTGGCATAACATGCATAAATTAATTCCGATTAAGCTGCCACATGTCAGGCCAAAGGATTAAGCTGCTTAGTCTATAAATACGTTCCTTATCCTTACTGTCTCCAGCTCGATAAACGCAGCATCAAATACATTTAAACGACAACTTTATCATTTTCGATGCGAAATCAATAAATAAGGCAAACCATGCCCAAGTTAAAACGCCGAAGATTTCATACCCTTGCAGAGCCAAGCTTTTCATAATGCTCATAATGCTTTGCCTGTATCTAAGAAGCAAATGTAAAATAGTTAATGCTGAGTATGGTTAAGATATCTAGATAAAAAAGTTTTTTCATAAAAGATCCTCATTTTCGACCGATCGTTCCTTTGGCAGCTATATGATATAAAAGTCCGATGTAAATAAGATTTTGCATATATAAAGGGAGTATAGTAAAAATTTTAAATACCTAGTTTTGTCAAGATATCAAGAAAAACAAAAAAGTTGTTCATATGGCAGCTATATAATATAGTGATCCGACATTAAAAGGATTTTACATTTATATGAAATCCAAAGTAAAACTTATAAATGCGGAGTTTGGTTAATATATATTGATAAACAAAAGAATTTTACATACAAGAGCCTACTTTTCGACCGAGCTTTCCTATGGCAGCTATATGATATAGTGGTCCGATCCGGCTGATTTCGACATATGTACTGCGCGCACTTCTGCAGAATTTCATGACTATAGCTTTTACACTGAGAGACTAGTTCGCTAGCAACAGACAGAGGTGCAGACGGACATAGCTGTATCGACTCGGCTTTTATTACTGATCAAGAATATATATACTCTATGGAATCGGAGATGTCTCCTTCTATGCGTTACACAATTCACGACAAAATTATAATAGCCTGTGCAAGGGTATAACAAGTTAAGTTTTAACTAGGTAAAAGGGCAGTTTAAAGTCACGAGAGAAGATTTTTCGGGGGTTTGTGTTACGCCGGAAAACACGACAAACACCCATCGCTACTTGGGTCCACAAAACCTACTATACGAAATGCTAACAAATGGCATTCATAATTTATAGCACACACTTCATTGAATATTCATAAACTTAAATCTGGCGAATGCCTGCCAGAAAAAAATTCAATTCATCTAACTAATTGGCGCTATAAACTTGGAAGATATGTGTGTACATACATCGACAAGACTTCCAGCCGAGTACAAGATACTATAGAAAGGCAGCCGACGGCGAGGGCCGGGGCAGTTGCCAGGGCGCTGCATTATGTGCTTGCCAGAGGGGTGTAGGGGGAGAAAGAAAGGGGGGTGTGCGCTCCCAATACGTATGTGGGTCACACTCGGGGGGCAACCCCTCCAATCAAATATGAAAAGAAAGAAAGCCTGGGCTGTTATGGAAAAAAAAAACCGAAAGAAAGAAAGAAGCAGAAATTATGGGAAATGGCAGCTCGAAGGCTTCATTGAATTTGCTTGCAACAAAATGGGCGAGATTCAGAAATGGAAATTTAATACGTATATGAGCACAAGTCCATTTGTCGCCAAGGATATTCGCATGTCCTTTTGTGTACACACATAATTAATGTGCACCAAGCGTGAATTACAATGAAACAGCATCCCCCTACCTCCCAATTCACCCCCTCCCCCTCCTACCAATTGGTTGCCAGGCGCTCAGAATTTGACCCAGTTATGCAGAAATAGTTGCGAGCTGCCGATGCCAATTACATTTATTAGACACACAGTTTTTATTTATTAGTCAGCGCCTTGTTAAAGGTCGGCCTCTGATTCATTTCTCTATAATTTATAAGAGTAATTGGTCCACAGTTGGAGAGCTGGTTCAAATGGGGGCGCAATATATGAAATCTACCCGAGTCGAGTCCCCATTCAGCTAGCTTTTTGCTTGCCTAGCAGCAATCCGGGGGCACGCAACCCCCGCGACCCGCGACCCCTCGATAATGTGCCCTCAGCTCGACATCAAATATGCACATTTCACGTTTCCAGTGGCTTATTGAGCGCTTGTGGCAGCCACAAATGCCGCCATGTGCCACTAAGTGCGCCCAACTTGCAACGCACTCAAGTTGAAGCTAAATAGCAAACATTTCTCACAGTGGTATGTATTCTGAGGATGGATTTGTTTAAGAACAAACATTTTTCGCAGTGCACAGTCCTTGTTAGGTAGTTAAAGAGGACACCTCACCACAGAGGTGAGCCTAGCCAAGGGTAGATACATATATTTAATTTAAATGCAGATCAATCAGTTTTATTCATTTAATGTCCGAAAGAAAATAACTTGAATTAGACGGATCTAACAAGTACTTGACTCAGAAGTGAGCCAATCCGAAGGATAATCCTGCATAAATCAGATAAATTTCATTTAAATGCTGCTCAATTAGTTTAATTCTTTCAAAAGAACTTGTATTACACGAATCAAACAAGTATTTAATGTCGTGTTCCGCTTAATATATACATATATATTTGTAAATATGTACTCAAATGAATAATATTAAAAATTATACACAGTGGCAATTTTTTGGTGGGTTCCCAATAACAGATTGGCAGCAAAATAAAATTGTCGCTTTGAGTGGACTAAATGCCAGTTAGCCGGCCAAAGCAGAATAACACGGCAAAGCACAGATCCATATCGGCACAAGGTACAGATATACATATATATTTTTACAAAGGTGTGTGTGAGTCTGTGTGTGCATTGTGCTACTATAAAAAGAAATAAAAGTAAAAATAATAATAAAGAAATCGCGCTTGAATGCTAAACAGCTGCGGCAATTCTCACACACAAATCAAATGAACCCATGCGCTGAACCCAACACAAAAAGCACAAAAAAAATAAAAATGGAGAAAAAAAGATTATTCGCATTTAGATGTGAAATTGAGATATAAATTTTGAAACGGCAACCCATGCACCATGCGCAGGTTGTTCAGCATACCCCACAGCCTGCCACTAATTGCGGCACGAGTTGGCCAAGTTCAATGTATTTAAAATTTCATTTGCCACACAACCTGCAGCTGGCCAAGCCCCTTGTTCTGAGCGCCTACAACTTGACTGGCCAGTTCTCTTTTGCGTGTTTTTATTCTTCAATGAATTCAATTGTTTTAACAAATTTTTCTGCTAGCCAATTTGTAAACACTTCGACACCGAAGACTAAACAAATGCTTGTATCCATGAGATACAAATACTACTATCCATGAGATACATTTTTGCCGGCCCTAAAATTGATGACCTCGACTCGAGCATGTTTATGTTTACTTCAGTCTAATTAATTGTTTAAACATTTTTTTTCTTTCTCTCTACTCTTGACTTCAAATGTAGTATCTTTTGAAAGTTGGGCAAGTAAGTAGGGGGGGGGGGGGGGCGTGGCATATATGGTATGTGGGATCAGGCCATCGCAATTGCATTTGCATTTGCAATTCTCATCATCGTTGCTTTTGACACTCGCTATTAATAAAAGATCATTTATCGTTCACCTTTTGTAGCCAAGTTCTCAGCAGGGAGGGGCCTCATTTGGACACTTATCAGTCACCTATTTAAAAACAATTGAACAAAGGTAACTCTTTTTTTTTTTTGATTCAACTTCTTATCTTTTTTTTTTACTTTTTTGACGCGTTTCATAAATAAATTCATAGCTTTTAAACGGCCAAAGCGAAGAATTAACTCGATTTAAAGTTTGGTTTGTCAACCAAGTTGTCAAAATCCATGAAAACTAACTAGCCACTTTTCAATAGATAAATTAAATTAAAAAAAGAGTTA